GGGGGGGTTCATTAAAGAGGAACTGATAATGAGAGAGAAACAGCAGCAACGTGGAACATCCTTGATCGCTTTTAAGTCATTCACGGCGCTGGGACGTGAGTCCTCGGTAGCTGCTGGACAGAAGGTAGAAAGATGTTTCAAAAGAATTTGTAGCGAGAGAGTAAGATGTAGATCTCTTCCTGCTTTGAAAATATCACACCTTTGGAGCATAACAGCATGTTTCAACCCACACAGTTTGTCTGAAAATAGTAAGTGGTGTTCTAAGCCATTCCATCACTGTGGTACTAACCATATGCTGTCTTTTATTCTAGATTTTCTTCATCTTTTTTTTCTTTTTTGCTCTGGCCCTGCAGATAAATCCAATACTGAAACTCTAAACAGCTCTGGCTTGTCTGTGCATTACATGCTGGACAGGTTTTTTCAGTCGGACCTCGTGAGGTCTGTTATTTATGAGTTTGCAGTCTTATGCGGATGGACTTCTGAGTGGCTGCCATGCAGAAAACCTGTCAACCATGTCTCCGTTTTCATCTGCGCTCTACAAACAGAGCAACACAAGTTTACAGCAAAATCAGCATGTTTGCACATGTTCTGGCTCCGTTGCAAAAGCAAACTGTCAGTTTATCATCTGTTTGTGCATGCGTGTTCGGCTGGGGACGTTGGATATTTGTTACAGTGGGTCGTTTATGACATTCCCACAGAGCAGGAGAGAGTGATGCAAAGCACTCTTGCATCTACGCATTTTGGCACAAAAAAATGTCTTTGGGAAAAAAAAAAGGGAAACAGTTTCTCCTGCTTTAAGTATAATTATAGCATCATTTTAACTAACCTATGTGCATGACCTATGTAGCGGTAGCGTTAGCAGTAGGAAATGATTGAACAACCTCCCTCGCTTGGACTGAGCATACTCAAAAATCAAACAGACCACTCGTCTCCTTGTGGACATTTGAAGGTTGCCCACGAAGGGAAGCGACATCTTTAGTGTTTTTCACAAACTCACAAAGCCTTTCACTCATGCCATCAAGCTGCTTGGGTGGGTCTGACAGCCTCCCCATCATTAAGGCTTTAAACTTCCACCACTGCTGAATGTCAGACAGACAAGAACAAACCAAAGAAAAGTGAAATAGAAACAAAGGGGAAGTGAGCTGATTATGATGCAGAAATAGCCAGAGACGACTGTTAGAATCCATCAATCTCCTTCTAATGATTAAGTGACACAAAGCTTCATGAAAATAGCTCTCTGCAACACTTTTACTGCAGTGAAATCACAGCGAGACAGATCAGGATAATTCTTCACGAGCCAATTTGGACTCTTTGCACTGCTGCATTTTCGCTGGACAAACCAAGTGGCTCCACTTTCCTTCACTGTGTGCTAACCTTGACTCTGGCCATAAGCCTCATCACACCTGCTCAGGAACTGGGCAAAGAAAGACCTCACCACCTGCCTGCAACCTAGAGCTCGCAGCCAGTCTGGCAACGGCTACAAGAGGCAACCTTGGGATGGAGCACAGCGAGACATTGATGACAGAGACACACAGAACCTCCAGCCAGAGTACACAAACCTTTCCCCTCAACCTCTTTAACTAGGCAGACAGCAACACCCTCAGCTGCTCCAGGTGACACGGACAGATTTCGTTGTTAAATTAAACGTTCTTTTTAAAAGTCCTTTTGATATTGCAGAATTTATACACACAATACTTCAGCTCAGTGAAAGTACAAATAGAAATGCACAATGTTTCGCCAACTGCCACTGTGTGTGAAAATGCACAGGTACATACATCAGCAATCTTCTTTTGGTGTGTGTGTGTGTGTGACAGAGAGAGAAAGAAAGCGAGAATGTGTCTTTGTTACGAAATATACTTGAAAATGAGGGTGGGAAGCCTCAATCAGGCCATTTGCAGCCCCCAAGAGTACTGAAGATGTAAGGCCACACTCTCAGGTCTCCCAGAACCGCTCAGTACCTGGCAGAGACCACCCCCTGCTTCCCCGACATGGAAGAGATCCAAGCCACCCCAAATCACCAAGGGAGTGGGTTAATGACCATGTCAGCTTATCCAACCACACGCTCTGGGGGGTAGCAGCATCCAGTGGAGAGTGGTGGAGAGGGTGAACACCTCCCTTGATGACTACAGTGACATTAAAAACAAGGAGCAGTCACCAGCCAGCAGAGGCACATGATGGGGTCTACCCACTGAGACCTACGTGACCCACAACCCTCTGTCTTGTTTCTTTATGTTGTTATGGGTTCTCAATAATGACACCGTTACTTGAAGAGAAGGCTTTTTATACTTTGGAGTGTGGATATCAGTCCAAAGTCTTGGGGCTGATCTGCACGCTGAGCCATAATAACAGCCATCTATTCAATTACAACTACAGTTGCTCCCTCACCTGGGCACCCCACCCCACCCTATGGGCCTGCGGGCACCCACGAGCCGCCAAGGCACAGACCAGAATTCCCAGTGTGGGCCAACCCATCTTACACAGCGAGTCTGCCAAAGGGGCACAGACCAACCCCACACCACACTGGTTAAATGCTTTCTCTAAATCTAAAGAGACAGCAGTGGTTTCTAATTTGTTGATAGAGCAATAGTTCATTATATTTGTTAGTCTACAACTACCTTTATTTTTCAGCCAGCTCTCTCCTAAGAAACCTTTCTTGTAATTTCTTTAAGTAGCCTTCAGTATTCAATCCATGTATGCTTTTACTAAGTTAGCGCTGTGTTTGGAATCATTGTCCTGCTGAAAAATGAAGAAAATTTGATGCTTTCCAGATGGTATTCCAAAATCCTTTTCAGGTTAAATGCTTTTTATCAATTTAACAAGATCTCTAACATCATTGGCTGAAATAAACCCCCAAACCATGACAGTACCTCCACTGTGTTTACGTATGGCTGTAGAAACTCACTGTTTATCTCCAGAGATCCTCTATATATATTGGTGAACTTATTAGTGTTTTGAAACAAAAAAAAATTAAATGTAGATTTTTCACTCTATAAGACTTGTTGCCACTGATTTTTGGTCCAATTCAAACTTTTCTCCCTGTTCTGTCCTCTCCTAAAAATTTGCTTCGTCTCCTAAAACATTGTGTATCTATGGATAGTATGTCATGTAAAGATCAATAAAAAGCCAAATACCATTTCAGAATATTCAAAGGTTTCTATTAAAGATAAATAAAATGGTTCATAAAATTATAGCATCTAAGATAAACATAATGGTAAAAATTATTTTGAGGAGCCAAATGTGAAACTAAATATCACTTTATCGTTTTCAGCACAGATTTACATAAAAAGTGTAGGCAGGTGAAAGAGTTAACAATTGATTTAAATATATACATGTAAAAAAGAATTAATTTAACTAAATCCACCTACCAAATTCTGCAGATAGTTTTAACAAATAGGTTACAGTGTATTAATTAGTGAGTTTTAGAGGTGTTGGTAGATGATTTGCTGCTCAACTTTAATCAGGGCTAGCTCTTTCACCTGCCTACACTTTTTATGTAGATCTGTGCTGAAAATAATATGGTGATATTTATTGTCACATTTGGCTCCTCAAAATATTTTCAACTGTTGTTTACCATTATTTTTAGCTGCTATGGTTAAACTGCTATCATTTTATGAACGGTTTTATTAATTTGATCTTTAATAGACACCTTGAAATATTTTAAAACTGTGGGGTTTATAATATTCTTTGGGTTTTTGATTATTATCTTTAGAGGATGTACTGTCCATACAAGCCCACTAGCCAATTATTCCATGTCCCAGTGACACTGAAGAGAAGTGTGCTTGGTGTGTCTCCCCCTTCAGTAATTCCTCTTTTTAGTACACTTTACCCCTTCCACATCGATCCACTAGCTGGTCCCACAGCCATTTGTTCTGCAGCTGAAAGAAAGCCTGCATTTTGCAGACTGCAGTTTTCTTTAAAGCCTGACAACTAGGGTGACCTTGACTTTACCCTCATCCAGTCTCTGCCTGCTTCAGACCTCCCAGACAGAGAGCCCTAAATGCAAAACTACACCTACACATTTCTAATAAACATCTTCCTCCAAATTTGACCTTTCCAGTGCAGAGTTTGCCACACAACACACGAAGAGGCAGGAGGAAAATGATAGGCTCCCCAGAGTTTGTAAATATCATACCATTCACTGCGAGGCATATGAAAGACAAGCAAATAATGATGCAATAGTTTTTAGCCTCTCTCTGAACTATGGAAACCCAGAATCCAAAGCACCATTAAACTCATAGGGCTTCATAAAATTAATCTTTACTGAGTCTTCACAGTTTAACAGTTGGCTGATTATTCTTTAAATTTTAATTTTTAAGATTAGTGAAAAAAAGTAATTGAATATCTTGTTTTGTTCAACTCGTTTTACCTCAAAGATATTCCACTAGAAAGAATACAAAGACAAACAATTTTGTTTGATTTAACAATCAATCACTATTAGAACGGAAGATAATTTTCCATCTGTCTACTAATCTATTTGCTGTAATTGTTACAGATCAGTGTTTTAGTAAGGAATGTCCAGGAAGAGGTTCAGTCGGCACAGCTTTCTTGCAAGGGTCAATGCTCCATCAAAAGGACATTTAACACCAATGATATGAAATCATTGGTGTTATTTGTGAGTTGTGTCATGTGTGATTTGTGCTTACATATATTTTGAAGTAATCTATATTTTTACTCTAAAGCCAAGGTCAGAAACAGGTATGTTTAAAGAAACAACAGTCTATGAATATTAATACTTTCACTGCAACTCACTTTGAGTGATAATGGCTCCATCGCTGTGCTATGACTTATAAT